CAATTCATAAAGCTTGCATATTTGCCAATGTAAAACATTTTTTTTAAATAGATAATTTCAACCGATTTACACATTGTTTAAGTTTAATTGTAATTAATTTATCATATTATTATGTGATATGAAAATGATTAATTTCATAAAGAAATATTTTGATAAATATGAATTAGCAATTATCAAGAAGATAGTATCAGGATATCCTAATATTTATAATCACTAGCATTAATAGAGGAAATAATTGGATATTATCACAATAATATCAACGATGATATCATGAAGAATCTAAAACTTTAGGAGCTTTATATATATAATATAAATTAACATTAATTAAGCTAAATCAATTCAGCATAATATAATACGTATTGATAGGTAATTGATAACTATTGATAATAATTCAAATGATTCATCTTATTATCAGTTATTGTCACTTTATCGTAATGTAATACTGATAACATGTTTTTTTCGTTAAATTTTCCTACTAGAGATGCGACAACCAAAAACATCGAATTATATTTCAAGCATTCATAAAGCATTCATTATAAATGTGTGTATGTGTGTCTGTGTGTATGTGTTGTGTGTATGTGTGTGTGTGTGTGTGTGTATGTGTGTCCATGTAGATAAAAAGTTAATAGTTATCCGTTATCCATCATCAGAAGAGAAGATGGAGTGAAAATAATCATTTTATAATCTTTAAGATGATTAATTTATATGGCAGGCAGAGAAAGAGAGAGAGAGAGAAGCATAAATAATGTTATCACCGGTGAATGCATACGACAAACAAAACTATATGAAATTCGTTTGCTCTTTTCTTTTTTTAAGATAAACATCGTCGATTTATCAAACGTTCTGAAAAGGTCCAATATATATATGTATGCGTAGGTGGAATTAATGAAATTTTATGAAAATTTAAAAAAATGAATTTAAAAATTTTTTTCGAAAAGATTGAAATGAAAGTGAAAATTTTTTTGAATTTTGAAGGTGAAAATTTAAAAAAAGAAAAGAAAGCATAAGAAAGGATCATTTTTGCTTTGTTACGTAGCATATTTACGACAAAAAAGTTGAAATAGCATATCGAGAATTATTAACTTGCAGATATATGCATGCATGCATGCATGCATGTAAACATGTCTTCCATAGCGATAGGCAAACTAATATGAAAGAATTTGAAAGAGATGTGAAATAGGAAACTGATTGATGAATTTTCAAAGAGTAAAAGAAAAGAGAAGTAAACTTCCTAAATTTACAAGAGAGAAAAAAAGAGAAGAAGAGAGGAGAGAGAAAGACAGAGAGGAGTAATAAAAGAGATCGTTATTGTTAGGAGAAATGCTGTTACAGATGACCTAAATACGACAATGACACCTCTTCTCTCTATCCTCATCTTTTTCTATCCTAACTCAAAAACTAACACATGAATATTGATCTTCCGGTAGGATAACTATTTTAATATTCAATTTCTGAATATTTATAATTTAATTGAAATAGCATGAATATAGTACTCATGAATATGTAGTATATCTGTTGATCAATATTTTAAATCCCCAAATTATTCTTGATCTATATTGAAGGTAATTAATTAAAATAATTGGAATGAAATATTGAGATAATTGAAATAATAAAAACGGTACTATTAAGGGAATGTTTTGCTGATAAGAATTGCAATGCAATAATGATATTCCATAATTTTAGCAATTAATTAAAGCATTCAAGTGGAATTATCATTATTGTCGAGAGTTAATATTTCTGTTACAGAAAAACTCTCTAATGAACACTATCACTAATGATTACAATGATAGCGTATAATCGTAATCATTATAGCCTTTAGCAGTATAGTGATAATCTGAAGAAAATATAGATCAGATATTAGTTCTGCATTCAAGCTAAATTGGTTAAGATATGCTATCACATTCTCATAATTACATTATATAAAAATAGAAGGAGAGGGAAGGGGAGAGAGAGAGAGAGAGACGTAAAGACTGATCTATGCAAAAAATGAAAACGGAAAACGGAAAATTCTTGAAGTTCAAGGTAACGATTTTTGTGTTATCATTTGATAATCTTTAAAGAATACATTTCTTTGGATCTATTAGCCATCAAATTATTCATTAAATAACTATAGACTTATCAGTATAAACTATATGAACACACTAAAAAGGTATTTGTTTTTTGTATATATACGTAATAATAAGAACGAAGATTAGATACCGTAACTAATTTGTTTTTCCCCTTGTTTAAGATGTATACATGCACGTGCACATGCATGTGCATGCATGTGCACGTGTATTTGTATATGCGTGTGTATTTTGCATGTGCATATATTGAAAATACATAAAAATAAAGTAACAACCATACAATATTTATATAATTTGGAACAGTTATGAAATAATATTATATCGGAATTAATGATCGAATATTTCGAATACATATTAAAAGTTTTGTTTTTTTTTAATTTAATTCATATCAAATGGAAATAAATTTAAAAGAATTTTTGATGGAATGAAAATTATTTTTAATTAAAATGTTATTTCATTCAATTAAGTAGCAAAAGATGCGTTTATCTCTGATCATTAATACATTACTGCATTTCCTGATCATGCGGAATAGTAATGGTTACAAAACCGGAAACCGAAAAATGGTCAAAAAATCGGAAACATCGGTATAGATATCGATGACAATTGCAAATGCAAATCGATGATGTACGAGTGGGTGGTATTCATTGTTTGATGGAGGAGGAGGAGGATGAGGAAGAGAAGGAAGAGGAGGAAGAAGATGAGCAAAAATCGAGACTTATCCAATATATAAATAGATGAAACATAGGAGAAAAAGAGAGAGAGTGAGAGAAAGAAAGGGAGAAAAATAAGGGTAGAGAGAGAAGGAAATGATGAAAAAAGAATTGGAAAAACATATAATTAAATAAAGTAATAGAAAATATAAATGAATGCCTTATGCGATAATATTTTGATTATTGCGATCGAAGCATTTTATTTATTCATTTTTAATAAATACAAAAATGGAATAATTTATTTTATTAATTAAAAATGCCATTAAAATATAATCACAAAAAGAAAATTTAAAATTTTCGAAAAATAATCCTAAAAAGTTTGATAAAAACTTTAAACAAATTCAATTTATTATATGAGAGTTAATTAATAATAATATTAATTAATAATTATAATAATAATGATAAATAATAATAATAATAAATTTTTGATTCAGATATTTGATGAAGGATATTTTATCAAAATTTCATATAAATACACAATGCCTTCGTTAATCGAATTTCTTTTCCCGTAAATTGAAATTTTTGAATTGATAAGAGAAGATTAGATGATAATAACTTAATCAGTTAGTGATCAGCTAGTTAACTTTTTCGAATAAACAATATTTGATGAAAATTAAATTTTCAACAAAATTGTAATATCGACTAATATCGAATAAAAATGTTAATAATATAAGTAGCATTTATTACTGTTGTTTGAGTAATATTATTATTATTTTAATATCATAAGACTATAGCAATTTCAGTAGATTATATTTGAAAACTTCCATGTGTATCCATCTTACAGCTGCACGATCCAGAATATTATCCGGTTTATCGAATGATTCAATTTAACTGAAATACGGCTGTTTATTCGATAGAATGCTAACAGTAATCAAATTTTTCTAAATATGTAAACAAATATACTAATGAAAACGAAGGAGATTAGAACGGAAAATGGCATAATGGCAGTAAACGATTGGTAAGCAAACAACCGTCGTTGAAATAATATTCATTTTTTTATGAATAATAAAGTTCTTTCTTCGTCAGGTATATTTCCTTTATTTAAAAATTTTTTGAAAATATGACTCATACTTGTACTATCTTTTTACAGCGTATCTTTCTGATTTAAAGAATAATTACGAATTGTTTTAAGGAAATATTCTTGAAATTAGTAAAATCTAAACAAGTAAATCAAGAGAGACTTTAACTTTGTTAATGTGGAAGAAATTTAGAAACAATTTCTTGAAAATCATATCAGTTTAGCTTTCTCTTCATTCATCAGCTACTACCAGCTTTTAAATATATTACCGCTTACTTTACGTACTTTCACGTCTCATATACTTTTCATATGGTCTTGCAGATTTATAATTAGAAAATTTAGGATGACGAAAACATCATCATGATTATAAATTTATTGACTAAAAGAGAGCATAATGAAGTCGATGAATGACAAAAAAACATACGCTTGATTAAATTGCAAACATCAGCAAAAGTGCAGCAAAAGTCTACAATTATAGCCGATATCTATGGTAGAGTTTGCAATCTGTTATTTCTCTGATTAACAAATGCCAACTATCGTCACTTGTATATCGGTAAGAAGCAATTTCATTGAAAACTATCATCACTTGTAAATCAGTAAGAAGCAATTTCATTGAAAACTATCATCACTTGTAAATCAGTAAGAAGCAATTTCATTGAAAACTATCATCACTTGTAAATCAGTAAGAAGCAATTTCATTGAAAACTATCATCACTTGTAAATCAATAAGAAGCAATTTCATTGAAAAAAAACAATTATTTCATAAAAAATACAGCATTTAAAGCAGAACAAATAATGTTCTCTAACTCTCGGACAAATAATTCATCCATTTGTTTAACTGCTAAAGTTCCCCAAACTTCATCACTACCCAGCTAACAAATAAGTTTTTTGATTGTCGTATGATATATGCGAGTAACAATACAATTGCTGACGAATAACTATAGTTACACTCTGAAATAAAGTACAACATCAAAAAACAAATCGCAACAAAAAGGAGTTCAACAATAACACGGCGAGAATGAAAGATCATTGGAAATACATTGTTAAATATCGCTCACGATGCATAAAAAATATGAGGAAGGATACTGTCGAGCTGTAATAATTCAAATATCTGTCTGCTAGAGTTTACTTTACTAGAGTAAATATGTTAGCTATACAGATAATACGAATGAGTACATCGATAATCAATTCAAGTAAGGAAAACTTTCATGCTGTAGTTTGTCCGCTATTTTCGCATGCAAAACTGCCGTCTTCGGCGTTTATAGCAGCTGTTTCCATTAAGTCAACTTCTTTCGAATATTTTCCAATTAATTCATGAGCAGCTTTCAATGAATCCATCAAATCTTGAATCTCTTTGTTTATTTCGCTTCTCGCATTATTGATCATTTCTTGGGTTCGTTTACGCACAAAAGGAACTGAAACAAAGAAATACATTAATGAAGGCAGCGATGAAATAGGAACAGTGATATTACTCTCTGCTTGATCCACATTATATGTTTCAAATCAATTATTATACATTTTGCAGAAATATACGGAGATATAAGAGGAAAGAAAAAAACAATCGAAAGCAACTCACAATCAGTATGGAAACGTCTCGGTTCGGCTTTACGCCCTTCTAAATGTGATAACACTTTATACATTGGCATTGTGGGTTCTTGAAATACCTGCAACACAACCAATGACACCTTGTTCAAAGGAAATAGTTTGAATCATAAAATACACAAGACTGAGATGTGAAATAAGATTGAATTTATATGAAATGATGCCATCTGTTATCGACTAGTAATTGTCTATCTTAAGAGGCTTTAGCAGGTAAATGAGTCCTACCTTTTCAAATGCTTCATTTTTTACACACAAAAATCTAGAAAAATTACCAAAAAAACTTACAATTTCATCATAATATTCCGCAGCGACCATTGTTTTGCCATTGGGAAGCGTAACTTGTGGTTGAAATAACCGAAGATAGTGGAACGCTGTCACCTTAAAATATATAACTTAGTTAATTAAGATGCTGCTATTCTAATTTCTATAGCTTTCATTTATTGACACTCCACTACTAAATTTTACCCGTTGTTGAGAGCAAACGAATTTCCGTTATTATGAAATATCATGAGATTTTGAAATGGAATTTATCATTTCAAACTATGCCAATCGCAGTCCAAAGATATAAGAGATATGTAAATAATGAAAAAATAAGCAATAAAAAGGAATAATACAGCTTAAATTCTAGAGTTATGTGACACAACGAATAAAATACTGGAACCTTACCGGTTTTTCATTAACGTCTACAAAATATATTCGAATTTGAACTTCAAATTCGCCCCAACCTGTTTCCGTTACTTCATATGGAGGTTTTTCGACCACTAAAAATTATATGAAATTAAAGATACCATTCCGTAAGTAATACTTCTTTCATAGTTTTCCATGCATCATACAACAGCATAGTTTCTTGTTAAATATTTGCAATTTACAGAAAATTCTACAGACAGCAAAAATTATTTTTATATTTATATCTATATTATGACAACTTTTTATTTTGATACCATTTCCATTCACAAGTCAACTCAATTGGCTAAAAGTTGAATTGCGGACAAAATTAAAATCTCCACCAGTTCCAGCATATAAGCTCGTTCTATTGTAAAATAAAAGTTTATGAGCAGCCTGGATTTATAAAACCGATCTCATTCATCGTACAGAACACAAATTAAATATGAACAATTACTAATCCGCAGTACTCAAATCCAGTTTATCTGTCCCAGTTTAAATAAACACTTGTTAAATGATTAAAGCTGACTGCGGAATACAGAAATAGGTAGACTAAGGGCTTATGTGCGACAATGGAAAGCATATTAAATAAACTTTCTATGAGCTTTAAGGCATGCATTCCATAGCATCACGAAAAAAGAGCACAAATTAGTAATTTAAATAAATTAAAAGAGAATAACCTGAATAGACCAAAAACTAGTGAGAGTAATAATAATCTAACTAGATTAGCAACTTCTTATTAAGCCAGAGAAACAATTGATGTTTAAACTTTTGATTGAAGAAAGAAGTAATTACTTCGCGTGGCATTAGCATATGAATCGTGCAGTTTGAATTGTACTTTCCGAATATACTTTGACGGATCTTCATTGAAGTAAGGTTTAACGAATACTGTCCATTCATGGGTATGCCCATCTTCTTCCCGCTTTTTACCCAAATAATGAGCAGTATTACCGTAAACAATCGGTCGAGTGAATATCTTATCTTTTACTCGCTCCATCAGAAAAACGATAAGCCATTAATATTGAGCTGTTACTTTTTTATCATCCCACATGCTCCGGCTAAATGAACAATTTTCATTATTACCAAGCAATAATGCAAAATTTATTTAAAACTTTGCCGGTTTCTACGATAAGACAAAAAGGATTTTATAAAGGCTAAATAAAACAAGCAATGAAAATCAATTCAAAATTAAAAATGTTGGCATAATGAAAAGATTGAAGTATATGAAATACCGATTATAAATCCGAAAATTCTTATTGCTTCCATTCAAATAAGTATTAACTATTTATTCGAACAAATGAAAGGAATAAAAACAATTAGTACAAAAAGTCAATGAAGAAAACAAAGCATCTTGACAGCCAGCAGATTACGATGATACTGCGGGGAAAAAATTATAATGAGCTGAAGTATTTAAATTAATAAATATTCAAGTAGTTCTAACATTTATGTTTCAATTTAAGCTTAGATAGCTCTACTTAAGTAGATCATTATTTCGATTACCATTTCAAATTCCCATCAATAAGAATGCACTCCAATCAATAATAACCTTTAAATTATAGCAATAATACTTATCAAATAAGAGAGACGATATAATGAAATACTTACAGATGGAAAAGCACGGATAAAAACAATAAAATATGATGAAAATGAAACATAGTAGAATAAAATATAATGCTATATTACGTCAGAGATTGATAATAATTACGAGAATATAGTGGGATAAAATTGAAGAAATACAGTAAATAGTTAAAAAAGAAGAAAAGGAACAGAGACTGAGAGCGCAACTGAAATATATCTAACATAACTGATCTCACTTTAATCTTCCGTCACCTACAGCAAAAGATAATACCACACAGGCATGATGTTAATTCACCAAGTTCAAATTTTTGGTTTAGGAACGTTTTGCGATTGCTATTCGCCATATGGGAAAAAGGGTGATTTTTGGGTCGGGTAGAAGGAACCTGGTTAATATACATTGTAAGCGTTAAAGATTAAACAAATTTTCAATGACCATCAAAAAATTATACAAACATTTTTAATAAATTTATTGCCATTAAGTATTTCTAATTAAATAATTAGTGAAATAAGTAATGTTAACTATAATATCAATTTTATCATATATATTTAGGAAATTGACAAATTTTCTATTTATTGCTACTTTTTTTCTTAAGGATAGAAGATAAACACGTATGATATGTATACTTTATATTTAAGGCAAAAAATTTAACACTCTGATAATATGATTTGCAAATGATTGTTAAGTTGGTAATTTTAATTTTTTTTTTAAGGCATGTCAATGAATTCAGAGGCAGATGTTTCATCATTGGCAAGTAGTATTGAGTTAAAGGTTAGTGGATTCCAAATAATTGTAGAAAAATGCTCACATTTCAAATTTCAGATGTAATTTTGAAGTACTATTAATTTAGGATTAGGAAATATATTTCATTCACTCGGTATATTCGTTGTAATTAATGTTGCTTACGTTGGACCTGAAACTACTTCAGGAAAAAATTTAGGATAATGACAATTTACGATTTGGAAAGTTGAACAAATTATTATTTTCACCATTTAGACTACATCAAATCAGTAACAAATTTACAAATCTTAGATATTATAGGGAATATTCACAAATTTTCAACTTTTTTTTAAGGATTCATTTATAAATACAAAATGGTTTCGACCGGGTGAAAGTCATTCAGTGATGCCTACCGGAAATAAATGGCACAAACGAGCAAAAGAAACAGAAGTTATTAACTTTCAAGATTACATAGTTTCGCATCGTCCATTTTACATGCGTTGGTACGAATCATATAAAATTCGTGCTTTAAATCAAAGACTTGTAAGTTCGTCTCTTTTTAGTTTTTGCGGTTACAGCTTTGAAGATTTAGATGTTTGTAATCCTACTCTCATTTAAATCAAGAATAATTTTCGAATTACTTCATTGTAAAGAGAAAATTGTTGCACGTTGCATATGGAATAAATTATTACTAGTATTAAAGTTATAAAACTTTTGTACAACTATTAATTTCATCATATGAAATTGCTGAATATGGAAAAAAGTACTTAAATACTTAAAGTAACGAACTAGACTTGGTAATTGTGTAAATATTTGAAATGCAAATGTAGAGTAGACATTAAGCAAATTGAAAAGGAGCTTGAAAACTAGAAATAAACAGAAGACGAGAGATATTTTTATCAAATTGTTAGAATCTTCCAAATCGGACTAAATCGAAATTAATGAAGTATATAACATGCTATATAACATATAACACAAAAATAATGTACATAAAAAGCACTGGTACAACAAACGAATTAATTAATTGCTTAATTATTATGGTGCATCTTTATCGTATATGAAACGAATTTGATGGAAATTATTCATCCTGTTTTAAATTTCAGGAACAGTACAAAATAGACGAAATACGTAATTTCATAGAACAAAAAATTCGCAAAATAATGGATGTGGTAAGGGAACAGGAAACCAAATTACACTTAATTTCTTCGGTTGTCCTAAAACCGGATCGGATGAAAAGTGATCCTGATGAGTTGACACGTAAATATGGGTGAATACTTTTTGGTTGATATTATCAAAGTTTCGAAGAAAATTGGGCAAAATAACTTGTCATAATTATGCAAGTTCATCGTATCAAAAAATGAGTCCTAAAAAACTGGAATATCTAACAGGGTAATTTCCGTGAATTTATTCCTTATTAGTTTTAGTTTCTTTAGCATACGTTACATTATATGCCGATATAAATATTCCTTAGTCGATATTGTCAAAGTTCCAAAGAAAATTGGACAAAATAATTATTAAATTACAAATTATTATGAGCAATTTCATGGATCTGGTTATTTAGTATCAAGCTAGCATACAAATCTAAGTGTTATCTGAAAAATCGGATAAGCAGAAAATCCTTGATAGGATCGAAGAATTACTCAAAAAACGATTGAACTTATTTATTTTGCGTCATTTCACAGGACAAACTTGATTCGGTGGCTGGATAATGTTGCAACTGAACTGAGCCAGCCGTCGTCGAAAATAATCGAAGAGCTAATGCGTGATTTCATGTGCTTCAAAGCGGTACTTTATTTTTTAAAAGCAAAAAATTAAAATGCTCATTTGATCATAATGGCAATTTCCGGTTGTTACAATGAAACGATTCAAATATTTAAATGTTTCAAATTTCCTATTGGAATGTTGAAACGATTAAAATGTCTGATTGTTTCAAAAAGAATTGATGTTAAATTGAAATGATAATTATATAATTACAGATTTCAATCTGATTTATATGTGCACTAATTATTAAATTACTAATGTCTTATGTAGCAAATATATTTGTAATGCTTTTTACTGTAAGCTCCATACAAAAAATTGATTTTCCAAAAAGGCCAACAATTTGATTGTCCAGATCATTGAGAAATATTAATTTTATGTACTTTAGCATAGGATTATGCTTAAGTAAGATTTATTTTTTCCAATCATAATAGCTTTCGCACCTTTCCTAATCGTTGTTACAATTAATTTAACGATATATTGTCCATACAGGTTGACCCATTGTCATATTGGACTGAACAAAATAATGAATTTTACTGCCAGATGCTTGAAAGGATAAACAGTTTCGCTTCTGCAATGGGTGATATGGTTAAATATTCATTTATTATTGAGCCGGGCACAGTAACACCTCATCTCTCGGTAAGGTTTCCTAAAACTCAATATAGTAAATTTTAACTCTGTTTTATTATTTTGAAAATTTGGGTTCGATTTTTTGGTTGAGATTATCCTAAAGTGAGATTTAAACTTTTCGTGCACAATTGCACATAAGCTTGCAGTGGGATGCAAATTTATTAAATACACTGAAATCACAGATTAATTTTCGGAATGAAATTATCTTAAAGAGAGATTCAATTTTCGTACGTAATTGCGTACAACTTTCTAATGAGTTATCAAATTATTCATGAAAAGCAATAAGGAAAGATAAAACCCTTTGTTATGAAAAATGCAAGATTTTAAGAAGTCTTTTATTATGAAAACTTTGGCAATCTTTTCTTTTTTCAAGGAATATGTTGCCGAATTCCAGCAATTAGAAACATTCTTTGAGCGTAATCCGTTATCTTTGGAAGAAGCAAAACACATTGCTTTTAGTCGAAATCTTGATAAGACAAGAAATAAGTGTTAGTTTTAACTTAGTTTTCATTAATAATTTGTTGTTCATTTTGCCTGTTATCTTCTCTTTGACCAAAAAAGTTTGCAAATATCATAAAGCATGGTAATTATATTCCAAAATTTCAATAAGTTCATTTTCAATATAACTACATCTTGGTCACTCAGGGTCAAAACTCCCGGTCATTTAGGTCAAGATGATTTGAATTAAGAAATACTTGGTTTAATTATGAATTTTATCATTATAAGTTTCATTATGCAATTCTATTTTTTATTTCGCCACTTCTTTATCAATTTGATTCAATATATTGAGTAATCAAATGTGATCTAATAGGTACCTATCGATCATTACGAAGCCTTTTTTCAGACTTTCAACCCTTGAAGTCTTGAAAACTGCTTGTTACTCGTATTAAAATGAAACTTTTATTATTCTACTTATAATTACAATTTTACTATTTATTCCAAATACGGTATGATAATGATCAAAATCACTGTATTATTTTTTTGCTACGGTAATCGACTGTGCTGATATCAGTCGCGTAATATTATGGCGTAAAAAAACAAATTATGATAATGGCTCAATTGTTTCTTATAAGTCTACGACACGAGGGTTATCACATTTGTGCCATACAGATGACATTTTGGAGCCTAACAATGGGACGAATCAAACCAATGATAACAGGTATCCTTAATTTCTCATTAATTTTCATAAAATCTTTGGTAGATAACAATTATTTGAATAATAACATAACTATTTGAAAATTTTTAATAATTTTACTGTTCGCGTATTTTGTCAAATTCAGCAATACTTTTTAAATAGATTTTCCACATATTTCTAGATTTATATTGTAATATTATTAACTTAAGATAATATCAGTATGATTGCTCAACGGTGTAATGCTTCGACTATTTGATAGCAAAAAGGCATATTAAGAATGAATTCGAAATAGCGTTTAAATTTTTCCATATAATCTATATGGAAAAGATTTATGCTACCGGATACTTCACTTTATTCTTATTTTGCTGATACGTAGCATTTTTTTTCTTCCCATTCATTTAAACTTTCCCTAAAAAAGTTACCATTCATTTGTTATCATTTTCCTACAGTTAGTAATGGCGTAGTGACTTATTCGTAAATTTTTGTTGGAAACTAATTATTGATTTATTTTTATCTATTGTTTACTTTACGTAATTAATTTCGTATTAACTTAAAAAAGTTAATGAAATTTAAACAGTATAATTTTCACAGTGATGTTATCATGAACAATTTCTTCTAAAATTTTTATTTTCCTTATTATTAATCGAAGATATTTATATTCTTTCTTATTATTTCGAACGTTATTTGAGTTTATTGCTCAAATTTTACGAAACTTTTTACTGAAAATTTTTTAATTTTACTGATGCCTTTTGTAAATAACAATTTAATGATTAATTTGAATTAATCATTTATACGCTTCCAAATGTTTGCATATGTGGATGATAATTTTCAGCGATGATTTCATTCATGCATCATACGTACGTGGTGGTCCACTGTTGAACACGTTTATTCTAACACAAGCACCACTTCCATCAACAATCAATGATTTCTGGCAAATGGTCTGGCAGGAACGCCCGAAATACATTATTATGTTATGTAAAGCTGTTGATATCAAACATTTAGGTCTATTAGATGGAGTGCTGCCTAACACGTGCGTATATTATTGGCCAAGGTAATATTTCTTTTTGTGTAAATAAGCTTTTCAAGAATTTCATAGTAAATTTATACATTATCAGATAAGTCTTATTTTTTTATCATATTGAAGTATTGTGATTTTATCATTTTTGTCAATATCCGTGCAACCGCAATCATTTAGCTTAAATTAGTTGATAATATATTTTTAACTACCCTAAAATTACCATTTAAAGTTTGATTGAATTGCACGAAATGACACAGTAACCAATACATTTCAAATGGTCTGAAATTATATGAAAATTGTAGTTTTATTTGTTTCTTTTTTTGGAAAAATATGATTCTATTTTATTTAGCATATGCAATTTATGTATAACCGTCAATTATTTTACTTTAAGCTTATATATTAAATGCTATATATTATTTTAAAGTTATATTTTTGTTTAAAAAAGTAGCAAAATTTTCCACATTGCCATATTTTAATATTGAAATTTTCATATTGTCATATTCTAAAATATTTATAATATTTTGTTAGGTTATTGTAAAGTAAATATATTAACAACAATATCCTAATTAAAGCAGTTAATAGAGGGTAATATAATTAAAAGTTACGCTATTACATTGCAAATTTAATATGAAAAAGGAGAAAATTTTCCAGATATGAACATGATAAAGCACGATATGGTGATTATATTGTTTGCAATCATAAAATCGATTGTACCACTGATCCACTTTTCAATGTCACCCATTTAACAATCCATCGAACTGATGATAAAGAAGGATTTATGCATAAATTAGAACATTGGCAATATGACTGGAATGATTTCACCGATTTTGATTGGCCATTGCGGATACTTCGTCGGTATATATTTATCACTTTTATTAATAAAATCATTCATCAATTTTTTTTTATCATCTGAGGATTATAATCATCATCATCGCCACAGTCGTCATTGACATCACTGCTATCGTTATTATTATCGACATCACTATTATGATCATCGTTAACTTTATCATCAATATTACCACCAGTATAATCGTCATTACTTTCATTATCAAAATCATCACAGCTGTCATTATTATTGTTATCATTATTATTCATCTTGATCGCCACTCATTCGATCGTTTCATTTCTAATGTCATTTTAATCCGTATTTTTTTGATTTTAGTGTTAAAATGATAACATAATATAGACACGACACTTCCTTACAGTACAGAACAGTATACTTATTGTTTGTGGTCTTTCACGTATGTGTTGGATTTCTTGCTTTGAAAAAATTTTTTTGCGTAAATTTTTATGAGTTAATTAACTTCCAGAACACGCTTATCGCCAACGGCAACAATTATACATTGTTTGGATGGTTGCGGTCGTTCTGGTACTTTAGTCACTATAGAAGTGTTACTAATGCATTTACTTAGAGGTTAAAATTAAATTTCACAACTTTCTGCATTTTAAATAGTTGATGGTAATAAAAAACAAAAAGCAATAGTTTTTTAAAAAACAATCTATCAATAAAATTATTTAAATGATTTTCTCAAATTACGATCTGTTATAACTGCTATGTATCCTACGAGAGAACATTTCGATTTTTCGATAGCACCGCATGTCTTTTCGTGCTTTTGCAATGATGTATACCGTTGAATGTTTATGTTACCTTTTTTCAATTAATTTTTGATTAATTTTTGAGGAATAATTTTCCTTTATAAATTTAAAATTGACAATTTTTTTTAGAATTTTGAATTTTTTAGTAAAAAAATTTTTAATTAAATCGGTAAGTAATTTTTGCAAGTAAAAAAATGCCTTTTATTTTTTAAGAAAAACAATTCTATGCTACATAATTTGTTATCTTAAGACATTTTTAGGATCGGCTCGATATAATAGGTTGGTACTTACGACAGCAGTATTTGTTCGACTTCAACGACGTCATGCAATTTCATCACCGTTACAATATCTGTTTATCTATCGTACATTGCTTCATTGGATGCAACCATTTATTACTTCGAATATTACGCGTTTCATACTTGGATTGATTTTTCCTGATTGGGGCTTTGTTGGTAAATATCAGAAAATGATCAGTCGTCGTTATAGATTTGAATGATATGATATAATGAAGGATTGATTCATGAAACATAAAATATATAGGATTGTATTTTGTTTTACAAGTGATTCTTGACGAATATTTGGATGCATAAATAATCAAAAGAAATTTATTTTAGAGAGACGAAAATATATATTTTATCAATAAATTTTTCAAAAATTTGAGATGCTGTTGAACTTCTCTTTCTGTTCTTTTTAAGGCTTAGTCTTAAATTGGCATTTTTTTTCTTATTTATACCAAAATTCTGTTGTTAAATTCGCAAAAATTTAAATATGCCTTTTAATTTTTGCTACAACTTTTTCCTTTTGAATACTCTCCGTACATTTTTCTTCTAAAATTAATTTTGCAAATTTTATGTTAAAATTACGCAATTGACGGTTCGTCATTCCTGTATTTTTGCATGAAGACATTACAGTTTAAAAGCGACATAATATGTAACGTCGCGTATTGTGCGCCATAAATATATATGAATGTTTCAAATTGGTTTTCATCTAATATCATTTCTGTGTTAACTGATAAAATATTTAGTTATAATATAAGGAGCATTTATTTTTGCATGAATATATTAAAAGCATTTGGATTCAAATTTACAGCCATATTCGATCATCTAATAAAAGGAAAAGTTGCAATTCCGACTATAAATAAATCGACAAAATCAAACGGTATAAATAAGAAAGGATTTGATTTGCTATAATAATTTCATGTGATAGCTAAAAGCAGAAATTTTATTTGATCAATCATTAGCTACAATTTAGTAATGGAGCGGATCGGCCAATCATAATTTTCCCGTGGGATGATTATTATCTCACCTATTTCATAATTTATTATCGGTTGGATTTTAAATACATCATTGGAATTTTAGATGTGATTTATCAAATTTGAACAAGAAATTGTGTGTTTGTAGGTGAGTATATGTATTTGTACGGTTGTAGGGATTGTAGGTGAGTTTGTAGGTGGTTGTGTTTCATTGTATATGTAAATTATATGTATCCGGATGTGAATGTATGTATGTATGCTTGTTTATATGTAATTGATAACTGATATATGGATTAATACTTGCATGAAAATGAGAAAATTTTTTTAATAATTTTCTTTTTTTCGATTTCTTTTTCAAAAAGAAATATTCCAAATATAATTTTATCCTATCTTAACATATTTTCGACATATTCGACATGGAATAATTTTAATAAAAACGTTTAATTTTTAATTTTAAAGGTAAAATTGAAATGAAATAAGGAATGGATTTTGGGAGATAAGAATGAATGCAATGATAATATCCCATTTCCTTTTCATTTTCATTTATTCATATCTTTTAAAAGCCTAAGAAAAAGGAAGAAAATAATTCTTATCACCATTTAATATTGCAAAAGTTTTCAATTGAAATAACATTATATTAAAATTTACTAAATTATTATTACCAAAAAGACAAAACAAAAAATTAATTATTTTAATTTTTATTTCACATTTATTTCTTACTTTACTACCAACCATTTTATTTCGATTTAATCAATTCCTCTTATTAATTAAACAACCATTGTGTTTAGTTTTTTTATTCCTTCTTCCCCAAAATTATTTATTCCATGTATCTCAAAAGATACAGAAATAGAGGGAGAGAGAGAGAGAGAAAGGAAGAAAGATGTATAATGATAAATAATGATAGTAATTTCTTCAAAACCCTACCTTTTATATTCTTTTGTAAGAGTTAGGAAAAAAATTTCAGTTATTTTTAATTAGGTCACTTCTCTGTCTCTTTCAGATGAAAATGTTTTGGAATGATAGGAAGGAAAGACATTCCAATTACTTCTCATAATTTCAGATCAGAAAATAATGAAACGGTAGTAATAGCGATCGTTAAAGATTTTCTGCTGGACGATGTATCGATCCAAAAATTATTTTTCGAAAATACTCGTTTCTTAATTTTTTTTTAAATATTTTTTTGATAATTAACATTTTTCTCTCTTTTCTATTATTTTTTCGATAATTAACACTAATTAATTTATACATAGGATAAAATTGATTTTTGTATTTATGAATTTAATTTCTGATATGTATTAATTAATTATTGCTAATTCATTCATATAAAGTTGTATTTATAATTGAATATGTCTTGAACTATTGCGATAGTAATGTAATAATACCAAAATTGATCAATTTTAATCAATCTTAAACGATAGAAATTTAACCTATTTGATAAGTGATAATTTCCTTCCTTCTAAAACTAAATGATTATAACAATTTCAACATTTCCTTTCTTTGTCCTATTTGCTCATTATGTAAAATTTATTTTCATTCCAATTTACTTATTTAATTCAGATTTATTATTTCATACAGATATATTCTGTTTTTAAGTGTTCTATTTTAAATTGCAAAATATGTTAAGGAATATTTTGTATTATTAGTTTAGCATTTATTTCATGCTTATACATTTAGATGTTTTATGGTACTATAGCTGCCATAACTTTCTTAATTAGTGCTTTGACAATATTGGCGCAATTAATTTTATTGCCAATATTTTTCAAACGCATTGGTATTATAAGACATGATGTTGAGGAACGCATGAAATTGTTTAAGGTTAGCTATTTATCATTTATTTTAATTAATTATTAAAAATAAAAAAAAGGAAATTATTCGTTTTTTTTAAAAAATAAATTTTAGCTAATTTTTTTAGGAATAAATTAGAAAGAGCTGAAATATTAAAATGAGTTATATTTTTGATAGTTTATTTATTATAGTTATTAGCCGATATAGGCGATATGCATCTTATTGAGAAACGTCAAGTATTGTTACGTAGGAAAAAATCGATAAATGATTGTCCATCACCAGAACCTGGACCACCGGGACCGCCAGGTATGATCGTAAATATTTCGTCATACAATAAATAGTTCAAATATTTTTTCCCATAATTGTGATAATTTAATTTTAGTTCAAATTAAATTTAAATCAGTTTAATCGATTTGTTTTAAGGAGATCCAGGTGAGGATGGAGAGCAAGGCGATGATGGAATTGTCGGATTACCAGGAAAAAGTACTCTTGAACTGTTGGAGGAAATACAGCAACAATGCATTGTTTGTCCACAAGGAGAACGTGGACCTCCCGGAGCACCTGGTAATCAAGGAATACAAGGTCCGAAAGGTGATCGAGGTATTCCGGGAATACCTGGATCCGATGGCCAAGATGGTATCTCATGAATTTCATTTCAATTTAATAAGATTTGTTGCAGAAATTTACAGTAAGTTTTATCAAAGTGTTTTATTTAGGTGAAATTGGCGCGGAAGGTGCGGAAGGGTTCAATGGAACAAGTGGAATGAGAGGCCCAAAAGGACCAGATGGAAAGCCTGCTACAGGTGGTGTTGGGGAACCGGGCCCAAAAGGACTACCTGGATCAATCGGCAGAACTGGACCGCAAGGTCCCCGAGGTAATTCCTAGCATTTCACTTATAAGTTTCTCATATAATTGTAAAGTTAAATGCTATATAATTTCAGACATAGAGCTTTAATTTTAGGTAAACGAAACTATGTGTATGGACCTCCTGGATTAGATGGCAAGAAAGGCGTTAGGGGAATGGATGGTCTTCCCGGGAATTTTGGTCCAAGAGGTATTCGAGGATCGATTGGTGAACCCGGCTCTAATGCAATTTTCTGTCCATGTCCAGTAGAAATGGAATTACTCGATGCAAAACAAACAGTAACTGATATTTTCTTGGAAAGCCTTAGGAAAAGAAATTCAGAAATATCTCAACTTAAAAATCGATATCTATCTATATCAAAAAATTATTTTTTTTTAAAAAGATCATTACATATCATCATTTCATTCTCATTCAACAGCGATAGAGAAGAAAAAGAGAGAAACATTGAAAGTTAGAATTTTGAAAAGTTAAAAATTTTTGAAAGCTACTTCAAGCATTCTTTTCTTCCTTCATATTCTTTCATATTATTATTTCCAGAGAAAAAAAGAGTGAAAAAAATTATTTAGAAGAAACCACAAAAGCAACAACAGTTGACAGAAATGAAGACGAAGAAGGATGAAAATTTTCATAAAACTTCAACTCATATGCCAATACCAATTAATAATGCTCCATCATTATCATCAATCATCAATAATGTCGACCACAATATGCAAAAATATGCGAATAAAATTTCAAATGTAAAATCAAAGCAATCATTTATTGTATCATCAAATATTCAACATGAAAATATCCCACGTAAACATCCTCAGATCTCACCATTGTCAACTGTAACTGATTATGATGAAATGCTACCGAATGATGAAGGTAATTATAATGTAATTATGATTAATTTTACCGTTGCAATTATTTCATTTAAATGGTACTCTTTTTTTACCTTTACTTTTTTCTATTTTAAATGAAATGAATATGAAAATATTAATTATTTAGAAAACATTCTTCATATCATATCTATACCTTGAAGTAATTAATCAAATATCCAATCTATTTCAATTTTCGTTAACAAATAACTTAAAGAAAAATGATAGCAAAACTACTTTGTTTATTTAAATTATGTTTTTTGTTTATTTTACTACCTTTTCATTATGTTTATTCGAGCTACGAAAGTGATAATACATAATGATATTTTTTTAGGTTTGATTAAATTTCAATCACTGAAGCTTAGAGTATTTCAATGCTATTTAAATCTTATGAATTTTAAAAGAAAATTTTTTAAACAATTTAGATGAATAGGAATATTAAAATTTCAGTCAGAACAGGTGATAATGATGGTATTGATAACGATAAGCCATTATTACACGATGCGGATAATCAACTTGAAGATATAACGATTGTTGAAAATGATCATAGTTGGAATGGAACAGAAATTCAAATCAACTTATCAGCATTACCACTGCAACAGGAACATCAATTAACATCCAAAATTCTTCCAGTTATTAATAATCAAGAAAATCAAGTTAGTAAATTAATTTTTTATCTGTAAAAATTTCAATGGTATATATTAATGTGATATGTTAATATGATAAATGTGATGCAATTTGTTTAAGAAAAAGAAATGAAAATAATTGGATTATGATAAAATATGAAAGAAGAAAATAATAATTGTTATTATTGTTTTATTATTTAAGTTGCTTTATTGCCATAAATGAGATTGATTGCATTGATGACGACTAATGAATAGAATTAAATAAAAGTGAAAACAAATATGTAATTAGCTCAAATGAAATAATTACCAAAAGAACAACTCAAAATGAATCAGAAAAATCGTATATTTTGCTTAAAATGAAATTTAATCAAATTCTTCTTATATTAACGAATAATTTTATATTTTAAACAAATCACTTTTTCAGCTAGAAAAATTTTGTATTATTTGCAATTTTATGAATTAAAAATATCTTTCACACCTTTTTTGATCTCTCTCTCTCTCCCTCTCTCTCTTATTAAAGCAATAATTTAATGATCTGAAAGAAATTGTTATAATTTTCAGGATCAAATAATCGATTTACCACATAAAGATGAATTTTATCCAAAAACTGAAGTTGGAATTGGCGAGACTAATATCCATCAACCACAATATCTTAACAATATTGCAAACTATCTTCCACAAAATCCTCGCATGGTAGTTGGTATTAAGGATGGTGAAAGTAAGCAAATTCATGACGTATTGCATAAACAAAACGTTATAGTTATTAATTTATTATTTTAGGAGCATAAATTTTTATTTTGTGAAAATCTTCTATGAGATTAAATCTTGATATTAGATTTACATCAGTACTAATACAGAGCAATTGTTACGGCAGCAATGCATTAGATTTATCATCAGAAATGTGATAACTCTGATAAATGATTTTTGACAGTTTTATTCCTAACATTAGATAATATTTGTGTAATATTTGTATCGAAGTTCTAATCAAACAGTTATCAAAAAGTCAGGAAAATGAACAATTATATTAGAATTTATAAATGATATTGAATCTTATAAGTCATATCACAATATCCAATGAGTTATTTTTATAGCATTATAATTTTACAGAAAAACAAGAAAGCACAATTAGTATTACAGAAAACGAAGAGATAAAATTAATGATAGCAACAACAGTTCCAACAATAACAATAACTGCTACTACAACGACAACAACTACTACTACGCCAAGAATATTGATAACTGGATATCCAGATGAAACACACGATTCAACTCGTCCACGATTCATTTACATAACTAAACGTCCGAAATCACTTTAAGCAACATTCAGCTAGCCATATATGCTCAACTAATTAAAAATGTGTTAAATTCAATGAGCTTAACGTAATTAAAATGAACATAATTAAACCTAATTAAAATGTGCTAGATTCAACAATTATAAAAAAATTAAATTTCCAAAAGGTAAGTTCTTTCAAAAAGAATCAAAAATTGGTGCAACATTCGAGATTTTATTTGAAATAAAAAATTAAATCGATACTCTTTAATATTCACATATTGCAAGTTCGTTTCTCTCAACAGATTCTTTCATTTTCTCCTTAATTTCAATAGCATAATGCCTTTCATATGATGTTTATTGGTGTAGTTTATTTGATCGCTTTGTTTTTACAGAGAAAAATTTTATTATTTTCAAATAACATTTTAATGCGATAAATTCATTTCTAAACTAACAAGTAAACTCTAGTTTGAATATCATTAGTCTAAATATCTTTTGGATCATTTCATAAGGATTTTAGATCATTTCATTTTAGATCATTTCACATGCTTTCATGCTTTCCAATTATTGCTAAATGCAAACCAAAATGGTTGACAGAATTAAAAAATATGAATGAATAATACCACAATTTTAATACTGAAATCATCCTTGACATCACATACAATCAAATTCTGTTAGAACCTTTAATGACTCCTCACTATATGTTTCCGTGAACATGTGAAAAATTACTCTACCTTAATGATTAAATTATTAATAAGAGAAAAATAATCCCTCGATGTAGCAGAATATTATAGATAAATCATTTGTTGATCTATCTATAGCATGGGGTCACTTCTTGACCTTATGAAGAGCAAAACCACAAATATTGGTCCCCTGATATAATTGTCTAAAAAATAATTATTATAGAGTAACCAACAATATCTCAATCATCATTTAATAAAAAATCTATTCTTTCAGCTAATCATTTATATTGCATTGTCCATTTCAGTCCCTAATTCTTATCCATAAATATACTCACCCACTCACCCATTCGAGAAAACAATTTTTGTTTACAGCTAAATTTTTTTTGTTGAGAAGAAATCGATTTTTTTGGCAAAACGAACTTCACTGGATTGATTACACATCATTTTCACGCTTCTCCTTAAAAAAATAAATAGCTAGAGTATGTGAGTGCAATCCTCTTAGTGCCACGTTGACAGTCGTATCTTCCTCTACTCAAATCATCCACTCCCCTTCGTTCATTCATTATTAACTATCTTGTCTTCATGATGTATCGATTCAATTGCTTCACACAAAATCTACTCGTTATAGACAAACCGAATACAAACAAACTCCCTGTCCCCTATTCCCCTCAAATCTCTTCTCCGTCATTATTCAGTGCATCGTGTTGTCAAATTCAGCGATGGTGAGAACAGTAATAGTTTTATCGTATAATCCCTCCCAACCTTCCCACCCGAACATTGAAGAAGCATATGCTTTCTTCTTTCACCTCACTGAAATTTCAAGGAGATTAGAAAGGCAATATTGTCAACTGGCCGACTACCTTTGATCGAAATAATTTTTAATACAAACCTTGATTTGAAACTAAATTCGAAAAAAATTAAAATCATGAGAGCCTAGTGCTTTTGAAAAAACTGTCGCAGTTATCAATAAACAGAGAACGCAATTCTAAAATCAGATAAACTGTTTTACTGAAGTCACTGTGATACATGTAAAAGCGCGACATATCACTTAGGTTAATTGTGTTGTAATAGGAGCGGGACTGTCACACACATAACGGAAATTTGATATGAAACGATTACTCTTCAGCGTATACATATGTATAAAAAAGAGCATTTGGAATAAAACTTTTAAAGAAACAGAAAAGATGTTATATGTAGAAGCATATAATGCTATGAAAAACGTTACAGACAAAAGTCAGTTAGCCGGAATCACAAACATAAAGATCAAGTGATATGCGGGTCATCTGTACTTTAACGAGACAAAAACTAACTCCATCATATTCCATCTTCAGTCCACAACAGTTGTATTAATTTCAACATTAATTTTCTAATCTCAACATATACTTTTATCTGCTTCCGTCCTTGCCAAAAATTGTCCAGTCTTCCAGTGCTACGAGATGATTTCATGCATTAATTAGAGCAGTAAGAAGCATTTAACTGTAGTGAGTTCTTCATAACAGAGACAAAAAAATTACCAAAGCTCCACAAATCACAAAAATTTCGGAAAGAATTTGGAAAACTGAATAATTTTGAAAAGCTCCTTTCAATCAACAAAAGATGACATTGAATATTAAAAAACAGAGCCTACAACAAATTCCGCTATTCATAATCGTTTTACATATCTCATAAATTCGAGAACTTATGAAAAAAGTCACCTGTAACAAGAAAGTACAAAAAGGGCTCAGAAAAGTACAGTAATGTTGTACTTCTATAAAAAGAGCATAATTGGAAAGCGATCAATGAATTACAGTGAGAAATTATCACCAGAGAATGGACAAGTACCCACCTAATGAAATGAAATCATTTATCCAACTTCATTGTGTGATGAAATGAGAAACTCAAAGTTAGGAAAGGTAAGAGAATTCCACACCATCATCTGGGTGTTGACGCTGGATTTGTTCGCGAGCAAATTGAACATATTGTTCATGCTGTTCTGCAAAATTTTTTTGGAATGTTTTGAAATTAATGCATCTCAGCTTTGAAGAGAGAACTATACTGGAGAGTAAAGAGGTAGGCAAGAAATGTTTTTCAAATGAAACATGTTTTTTTTCAGCTACCGCCAAAAAACTCATTTGCACATGTAACAAACAAAAATTACCCTCTAAGCGTTGATTCAGTACTGTTTCATATTCATATCTAAGACGTACTTCTTGCTGTTTCAACAGCCTTTCGCAGATCATCATCACCTGAAAACCGAAAAAGAATGTTATAAGACCACTTGCAACCTTTACTGCCTAATGATGTCTGACCATTGATTCTTTCTCTTCCTTTTAACAGCTAATAGTAGCCTAAACACTTCAGTAGGGTTACACACCTATTGCACTGCGGAAGTTACTGTTATGTAATTTAAAAAAAAGTGAGAATCCTTCCAGGACGATTTCATGGTGATTGTGCCTTCTAATTTCAACGACTTCGTAGAACTAATCATTCATGCAACTTGTCGAAAAAAATGTAGCCAAGATTCAAACCCCACCTGCTTCAGAGAAAACTGTGGTTTCTCATACAAGTCTTTCATTGATGATGTCTTCTGCACATTTATTTCGCCTTCTGATTCACTGCCCGACTAAAATTCCATAAATAATAATGAAGTTATATGTGTAAAGATCAATTTCCAGAAACATTATGAATAAATCGCACATCACAACTAAGACACAATCAGAAAAGAATAAGAGCTCCAAGAAGCCATTGCTTCTGTTATAGCATACCTAAATACAATTTCATATGATTTAAGAAACCTATCAATTTTGGAAATTTCTGTAAATCTCACATTATTATTGGGTGATAACGGTGCTTCACGATAACCATGCTCCGAATTTGCTCCGTTCCCAGAAACTAAATTACAACAATGAGACCCGTATCGCTGTGCGGCACCACTCCCTTCGCTGTTACCTGCATTCACCACGCTTGAAGTGAGTGTGCGATGTGGAATCAGATGGCGACGCTTCAGATAACGTACCTGCAAATAATGTGCTACACACAAGACATGATGAACAGGAAGCAGTCCATACACATACAAACACATAGAGAGAAGTATACTTTCTACAATTCAAAAACATATGCACTCGTTCTACTTACTTCAGCCCGCAAATATGATTCTAACTGTCCCGATGAAAGCTGCAAATTACTACCAACTTGGGCAAATGGTGAGTTGTCGTACGCTTCACGATCCTGCAACATAAACAACTTACGCAAGTTGGGTAAGAACTTTTATTTCTCAGCATATAGAAATTCTTACCAACGTTATAAACAAAAAACCAATGAAAACTCTTCTAGTGAAAAATACTTCTGCAAAATAAAAGTATACTGAGTAGCATACTTTTAGAAGCTTTCAGTGAATCAAAAAAGAATGCTCAAACGAAAAGAATTGAGTAGCATATTAGTATCCTAGCCATTAAGAAAAAAATCTAAAGATAGAATAATTGATAAACGAAAGAGTTAGCTTCTTGTCCGATATTCATATAAATTATCTCCACTATGTAAATTATAGAAATAACAACAAACAAATCATATAATCTTTTTTTTAATATCTAAATAAAACTTAATTTAAGTAGAAGTAATGAACCAACGAGTATAGAAAGAATTGAATGATATTACTTTTGGATCTCGTAGCTGCATCAAAGCACTTGATGCACCTGAAGTCGGTAGTGACGCAGCGATAGTGCCAATCTGTGCACGAAATGGTGAGCAATGGGTTTGCGTATGACGCGCACGTTTCACTTCGCTTCCTTCCGCGATTAGATAATCATCATAGTCGTATGGCCTCTTTAACGCAACTCCACAAGCCATGGATATATTTGTCGCACTATTACAAATTAGATTTACCTGGAAAAAAATCTTACATTAATAGCACACATTAAGTAGTTTTCGAAGCAATAAAGCGTTTACGAAACATATAAGAGACATTGCGTTCATTCAATGAGATCAGCGATCATGCCGAAAAGTTGCAAGACATCTTATTTCACTTCTTTAACTTCACATTCCTTCTTTCCTGTTTTCTCATACGCAATATGTAAACATCGACTGAGTATAGGAAATGACGCCTCTTGGACAACTGAATAAGCTTCGTCTGACAAAGTTTTACTATTACTGCTATTATTATTCTTATTGTAATTGCATTCATTATTAATATTATTAATAAGTTTAAGTAAACACACCACGCCCGTCTGTATGTGTACAAGTGTTTTACTTCATTATCAATTAAATCTGTAGGGAAAACTTAATTAAAGATGCTAATACTTTTAGTTTCGTTTCACATAAGCACAATGTTGTGAAAATCCACCTATTTCTACGCGAAACTTAACTTGAGCGCAAGCATATGAAAGAA